CCTTCCCTTAACTACTGACATTCCTAAAAATGCACTTCATTCATTGCAAAGTGAAAGCTGCCATTTGCACATGGCTATGCAGCGCACAGGTGTTGCACATCAGTATAAAACACAGCCATGGCTGTTTAGAAGTGAACCATCAGAGAGATGTGCTGTCATTAGACAGATCCCAAACTGCACATCACAGAGAACAAGTCCAAGACGCTGCTACAGCTCAAGATTTTTTGTGACAGTAGGATATTGGTTGGGCGTGATTGATACCGGGGAGATGATAATTGCTGGGTACATACAAGGAAATACTGGATAAGCAATAGGGAAAATAATCACAGTCACATCTCAAGAAGTTCTGAGTAGATGATTGCATCGACTAAACTGAGGTGTGCTTTTCTTATCTACACGTTTGATGAAAATTATGCTATATTCCAAACAGGCTACTAAGACTATGTGTCATGGTTTTGCTCTGGGTCAATTTGCTTTCACCCCCACACAATTACTATTAGTTGAGAGAAGGTTTATGCAGACAAAAGAGACTGGATTTGGGAAAATAATATGAGCATTTATTACTAGCAAAATAAAAATTACTAAAGAACTACATCTACAATAATCCTACTTAAGTAAAAGTATTATGTATTTATAGAAATACTCCTTCCCCCCCCCCTTTATATCACTCCAAGGAGGAAAAGCAGTTTCTTTCTCCATTCTCGGAGCTCCAGGTCTCTTCAACAACTCTGCAGCACTCTCATCGCAGCTGGAACTCTTTCTCCTTCTCTGTGTTGGCCTCCAGGGCTGGGCCTACCCCCCTCCTGGGCTAAGACCAGAGGCTGGGGGTTACCCAGGCCCTGAAGGTTCTTTTCTTCCATGGTCTTGCAAGGGGACACTTGCCTACCATGGATCTTCACCACAGGATCACGGGGGATAATGGCTCATGAGTCCACCCCTGTTTCCCTATGGAGGTCCCTCCCCATGGGAGAACAGTTCTTGATAGACCTCTCCAACATGGATTTAGCATGGATCCTTCACTCAGATCCCAACATCTTACCTGAGCCATTGGCTCCAGCGTAAGGCTCTCTCTCAAGGTCACAAATCTTCAGTAGCAGCATGGATCCCTCACTCAGATCCCAAGCTTACCCGAGTCATCTGCTCTTGCCTCATCCCTTCAGGGTCATAAATCTTCAACAAGACTCTGCCTTATTTCAGTCCTTTTCATGAAGTCTCGGTTTCCTCATGCGACTTACTCTAGTGTAGGCTCCTCCACGAGCAACATGGGGTCTCCTCACTCCAACAAACTTCTACAGGTGGCAGGGATTATTTGTTTTAGTCTTGTCTCTGCTGAAGGGAGAGAGCAAAAGACGGGAGAAACAGGCCCCCCTTGGCACTTTTCTCTCTCCTCCGGCTGTCAGCTTTGACCTTGGAGGTCCCTTATCTCTTTGCCGGAATTCTTCTGCTGCGGTTTCTGTCCAAGCAGTAGGTTTTTTTCTTCACTCTCTTACAAGAGAGAAGGGGGGCTTCAGTGCCACACCTGCCCCTGGCCCAAGCCAGGGGAGGAGGGGGCCCTGGCCCTCTTTAGGGCCTTGCCGCCGCCCCTACATAGCTGCTGCTCCTAATTTCAACTGTGCAACTAACCTTCTCTTCCGTTTTCTTAAATATGTAATTAGGAAAGGTGTTACTGAGAGTTTTAATTGGCTTCTTGTCCGGAAATCCACCTGGACAAAATCATCCTCAGCCCCAGGGGCTGGCCAGCTGGGCAAAACCACGATACTATGTAATGATAGCAGATATATTAGAGAATAATAAATGTTGAGGCTGCTACTTTACTTTTGCAATGGGCAATTTTGAGTTTTTGTGCAAACTTGATTTCCTTTATACAGTTTTCTGACTGAGATGGTCCTTCTCATTAATGCCTACACCTACTTGCTGAGTTGTGCTACAAACTCCATCAGCTCTGCATAATATGTAAGAGACATAAGTAACAGCAAGCCAGCTGATTCTTTGCAGAGTAATAAATCAGCATACTTGTCTTCAAGCTGAAATTAACAAGTGCACATATTTCTTCATAAGTATATCTGGCAATCTGAAGCATGATGCAGCACATACAATGGAGGATGTGGGATGCGGTGGTTTGTTACTGCAATGAAAATGCAATATTTCGTGCTTAGGTTTGAAAGAAGTATAGCTTAATAAAAATAAAGCTTATGATTCAAGTCACTCTTTTACTTCAAAACTAATTTGTGGTACATTTTACACATACTGCAAGTGATGAACAGCAGCCTTGGATAATTGCTTTCCTTACAAAGTGTGGGAATCAAAGGATATGTTTTAGATGTGTGGTCACAGATGTGACCATGCTGACGAATTGCAAATAACCAACATAAGAGATGATGATGTGCTGTCTTTGATAGCTGTAGTGTTATAAATTATCTTTTCCATGACAATCTCAAAGGGAGAAGAGCACTTAATAACAGGATTTTTGGTGAGCAGATTTAAATGAAAAGAAAATGTGGTTGCATGCAAATGTAATTGTTAACAAGGAGAATCGAACTGTGCTGGTCACTTACCAACTGTTTTGACATCTAGGCATGACAGGTTTTGTTCACCAAAGCTAGTTCACCAAAGCTAGTTCTGGAAGCCTATTACAATACAACTTGATTTCCAGATCCTAAATAGAGTCTGCAAAAATTTGTGGAGGGTTGGGGAGTAATTCTTCACTTATAGTTCAGCTAAGCCCTACATGACATCATTGAAGAGTAATTTTGTCCACCATTTTTCAAAACTAACTCACATATTCCCCATCCTATTCCAGGTAAGCTGTGGCTACAAACATTGTTTACAGCAAAAGGCCTAACAGCATCTCACCCAAATGCTCCTACATGTTTCATCTTTCAAGGGGCTACGTAATCACCCTTCAGTGAGAGCTAACAGAGGTCACTTAAAGCCAGGAAGCATGACAGAGATTTTCTTTATCCAGTATCTGAGGTTTAAACGATCAACTCTCTGTAACAACACACAGTCTCCAAAAGGTTCAGTCTCCACTCTCAAATGCTTTAGAAAGGCCTCAGCACTTTGTAGGAGTAGATGCATACTTGGCAGCAAATTCCAGAGCAACTAGTAAGCATTGCCAAAGGGAAGCCGGTGCCACATCTGGCACAACCAAGGCCCTGTGTCTGTGTTAACATGCTCAGTCGTGTGCTGATTATTGTACAGCTCCCAAGTAATTTCACAGGATTCTCATTCTGAATAAGTAAGCCATGCATTGGTTTAATTGTAAATTGTGCAGATTAAGGATAAGATTAATATATAGTTATTTAACTTCACTGAAAGATTTCTATTTTTTAACATGCGGGCCAGAAAAGCAATGTTGGGGAAAGCTTTCTGTTGGAGGAGCTGGCTGCCTTCCTCAGCCTTCTTTCCCAATTCCCATGCTACAGCCTTTGGCTGCTATTACCAGCCTCGGGTTCTCCTACACATAAACATTTCCCATAACTGGATTCCTTGTTTGAAAAGCTGGAGACCAGACCCTAGAAGGCTCAGCCCATGAAGAGTGTTCTCACAGAGGGGAAATTAAAATTTAATGCCAGCTATTATTTGGCTGTTTCCCTCTCTCTCTTGCCACTATCTCTAGCTGAGCACAGTAAGCTCCACTACAGAGCTGATTTCCTCCCCTTCTGTGACTCCAGGCATGCGAGCCTCAGTGATACAGGATTCCTCTCCATCAGTTTAATACTGAAGCAAGAATTTATTTTAAGACTACAAGTCCCAGTATGGCAAGAAAACACTTGCGATTTGGAGACAAAAAGTTCCTTAGAATCTTCAGGAGCATTTGGGACAATCTAATCTGATTTCTAATGGCCTCTATTTCCATAATTCAGCTGGAAAGTGTAATTAGTGGCCAGAAAGATCTACTGTAGTTAAGGCTGTTACCTGTGGTAAGCACTGTTCACTTAAGCTGAATTAAAAGCAGTTGAATTAAATCATAGAATCAGAGAATGATAGAATGGTTTGGGTTGGAAGGGACCCTAATGATCATGTAGTTCCAACCCCTCTGCCATGGGCATGGACAACTCTCACTAGACCAGGTTGCTCAGAGTTCCATCCAGCCTGACCTTGAACACCTGCTCTTCTGTCTAGTGACAGCTGAAAGGAGAGATCAGCAAGGCTGGGCAGGCGTGGTGGTAAGGCTGTATGTTTGATTTGTACATAGCTGCTCAGACATGTCACTCGCCACAGTACAAGACACCACCACTGACCCTGTTAGAGAGCAAGAGAATTTAAAACCCTGGTAACACTGAGTGATAGTCTGTGTCTGAGGGTTCAGTAATGCAGTTCAGCGCCTTCCAGGCCATAACTGCAACTAAAAAATAGTTCAAACCTACATTTCTTCCAGAAAATTAAACAACATTCAGCACCATTGCTGAAAAGCAGTAACTGTTCAGCCGTGGCCTCTCTAACCATTTTTAGTTATAGTTTTACATACCTGCTCTAGTGGAAGGTTCCGTCCTCATGACGGGAAGGGCGGGGATGTTGGAATGAGCTGATCTTTAAGGTCTCTTCCAACCACTCTATGAAACAATGATTTCATAATTTCTAGTTGCGAAGTAGGACCAATATCTAAGTTTTTAATATGATTTAGGGCTTATTACCTAAGACACAGCTAATACAGGTGCCCTCGGCGGCGCTGCTTTACCCGCAGCCCCACCTCGCGGCCAGAGCCCGGCAGCGCCTCACCCCCTCCGCCTTCCCGCGGCCCGCCCGGCCCCTCCTCGGCCCCTCCTCGGCCGCTCCTCGGCCCCTCCTCGACCCCTCCTCGGCCCCTCCTCGGCCCCTCCTCGGCCCCTCCTCGGCCGCTCCGCTCCGCCCCAGCCCGGCGGCCCTGCTCGGGGCCGGGGATCTCGGGGCGGGGCAGGGGCGGTCCCCCGGCACCACCGCCTCCATCCCGTGTTTGCAGGGGTTTCTGCGCTCCCGCCCACCGGGCTCCTCCTCCGCTCCTTCCCTTCCTGCCTCCTCCGCTGCCTCCCCGCCCGCCTCCTCCTGCGCTGCTTTGGCGGCGCTCGGTCTCGCCCGTCATGGCGAGCAAGGATGGTAGGAGACCCCCTCCCTGCTGCCCCGTCCCTGTCGCGGCCGGGCGGTGGGTGAGGGTGCGGGGATGGCGGAGCTGGGGCGCTCCGGGATTCCTCCCGAAGAGCTTCCGCGGGGGTGGAGCGGCTGCACTTTTCCTGCCGCCGGCCGCCCCCGAGGGCCCTGCGGGACCCCCGCTCCTGCTCCGTCGCCGCCTTGGGATGGCCCCGGCCGGGGCGGCGCCCCCCTTCTCCCCTCTCCCTGCCTCAGCTCATCCCTTCCCTTCCCGCAGTGCTGGAGGACACGGTGGAGGAGCGCGTCATCAGCGAGGAGTACAAGATCTGGAAGAAAAACACCCCCTTCTTGTACGACCTGGTGATGACACACGCCCTGGAGTGGCCCAGCCTCACGGTGCAGTGGTTGCCTGATGTGACCAGGTGAGAGAAGGGAAAAAGTGGCCGGAGCAGTGCCAGGAAGGCGCAGGGCTCAGCGGGAGCTGAGTCTGTGCAGCTCCTTGTTCCACTGCACCTTTTCTGTTAACCATGTCTGCTGAGTGACTTGAGAGTAAAAACCACGCCAGACGAGAATAATTTGGGTTAGGCTACTCTGTGGGAGCTTGTTACGCTTTATTTTGCTTACAGCTTTAAAAACCCCTTGGGTATGCAGAAGCATTCGGGAAAAAAGTCACGAGTTGATACTTCACAGAACTCTAGTTTAGCCTAGCATAAGGTGTTGTGAGGTGTGAACAGAGAAGTCTTTCTCAGTTTATTGCTAAATAAGAGATCTAGCACTCACACGTAGTTAATTCTGATCAGAGAAATCTATCCCCTAAATTAGCTTGCTCTTGAAGACCGTTTTTCCTCCTATACTACAGATTACTATTTTTGTTTAAGCTATAGTATCTGTCTCTGATACTTTTTAAGTCTGGACTAGTCTATTATTCTAAAACTGGTTCTTCATGTCCAGGTTTTGTCCCTGGTTCACTGTATACATAGTATACTGTTTCCCATTCTTTCACCTCCCCCTGAAGATTGTGGGCTCACTGGTAATTTATCTTAAAGAATCGTGAACATGGGGATAGAATCTGTTTATGTGCCACCCACTATAGAACTTAAATTGTTGCAATAACCACTTAGGGTTCCACTGAGGTAGTGGACAAAGACTGGGTCCCTTGTGGTGTTGTAGACTGGGTGCAGCTAGGTTTTAAAATATCCTGTGTGTAAACTTATTGCAGTTATCAGAGGATGGTCTCTTTCTTCTATAAAATTCCATCTCATATATGTGATGCCTCACTTGGTGGTTAGATGATCACTTAGTCTGGTATACCAGAATGTCTGGAGACGATGTTGAGATGTGAGCTAACTATTTGTGGCATGGAGACAATGAAGTGGGGATTTGAGGGTGTGGAGCCCTTATGAGGAACACTTCTGCTTGCCTCATATTTTGCAGATTGACTTAATGTTCAGTTTAAAACCTGGTATTTCCAATTATCCAGTGTCAAAATATGTAAGCCATTTAAGGCAAGGACTGCCTCTTTGTATGGCACCTGACATGATGGGACACCTATTCCTGATGCAAGTAAGTGCATGTGCATTGTGTGTTTCTTGTGCTGTTTTGTATTTTTGCCCCTATACACTTGCAAGTGGTGTAGTAATGCCTGGTAGTATTAAAACATGGTGGTTTATAATTGCCTAAATGATTCCTGAATGCCTGGAGTCAGGAAACTTAATTAGTTTGTTGCTTTCAAGAATGCAGAAATTGCTTGGGTTTGACTGCTCAAATTTTTACTTTCAGAGATAAATGACACTGTCTCTCCAGCCTTTCATTTTTAATTAAACATTGCATTTAACCACCAGAAGAGAAATTTTATTCTAGTTAACTAGGATTTTTACAGTATTAAAAAATGAGTGTCTGAAATAAAATAACTAGTAAAAGCTTCTAAGAGAAGTAACTAAAATAGGTTACTACTTGTCCCCTCAGTATTTGTGTTTTATGAAAAGTAGTACCGATTGTTTTCTAAATCAATACTGTGAGACTGCTAGGAAAATTTGATACAAGTAGGTATTGTTGTTACCTTTAACTGCTGTGAAAACTGTGACTGTCCCTTTCAAGGCAAGTGACAATGTTTACTGGCTTGTTTTGTCACTCTACCCTTTCTAGTTGTATCTTTGGCTTGCCACATCAGAGTCTAGTTTGCTTTATTGCATAAGTCTTTGCGACAATGGGAAGGATTTCTTACATGAGTATCTCTTTTCTAGCTCCCTGAAGAGGTATGGATCTTGAAGGTTATTGATACTATAGCTATGAAACTTCTGGAACTGAGCACATCATTTTCTTCCATGCATTTATTATTCTAAACAGGCCAGAAGGGAAGGATTATGCTCTACACTGGCTGGTTTTGGGAACGCACACGTCCGATGAACAGAACCACCTGGTCGTTGCCAGAGTCCAGATTCCCAACGATGATCAGTTTGATGCTCCACAGTATGACAGTGAGAAAGGAGGTGGGCATGCAGCATTCTTAGATTCTGTTTTAGCAGTATCATTGCTAGTTGTTCTCATAATGATATTCTAACTCTCTGTTAAATACTAAAGTGGACGGATGCATCCTTACCAGTCCACACTAATTCTGATCACTAACTGTGACTAAAAGAGGAAACTTTGTTTCAGAAGAACTCAGGCAACATTATGATACACAATCCTTACTAGAATTTCTACTAGCATTGTCAGTTGTGAAAACTGATACACATCTACCTCAAATAGAGACTAAAGCTCTGAAAGAGGATTCCAAATATCAGAAGTATGTCACATGGTGTGAACTTGTCCTAGTCCTTCTTGTATTTGATAGGATGCTTACCACTGTTTCTTGGAGTGGGGAAGATCCTGTGAAATGCTGCTTTGAGAGTCTAAAATAATTGATGTGATAAACTAACATTTTCTGACAAATGTAGAGTTTGGAGGCTTTGGATCTGTGACTGGCAAAATTGAAATGGAGATTAAAATTAACCATGAAGGTGAAGTGAACCGTGCTCGTTACATGCCACAGAATCCCTGCATAATTGCGACAAAAACACCGTCTGCCGATGTGTTGGTATTTGACTACACTAAACATCCTTCAAAACCAGGTGGGTTAGGCTCCTCAAAGGTAATCAAAATGCCTCTTGTTATCGAGGGCTAAGCTTGTGTTTAACTGATTGGGAGGATAGTTGACGGGTTCTGAAATCTGAATGAGAAGGCCCATATCTTCAATGACTTTAGTTGTCTGGTTATCCTCAATATTATAAGAGAATGTTGATAGAAGTAGCAGAACTTCCAAAGAGGTTTAAGTATAAAATATAGTTATTGCAACAGAAACAAAGTTCTTGGGTGATAATGATACTCCTTTGTATTGATGTGCAAAGTGATGCTAAATGGAAGGAATTTTCTCTCTTTCAGACCCAAGTGGAGAGTGTAATCCTGACCTTAGATTAAGAGGGCACCAGAAGGAAGGCTATGGCTTATCATGGAACTCAAATTTGAGTGGACATCTTCTCAGTGCATCTGATGATCATGTAAAAACCACATCTTTTCCCCCATTTAAAGAACCCTAACTCCTCCTAATTTGTGATGTAATAGATAATTAGAAAAAATCTGGCTTCGTGCAGCTGTGTATTTTTATGTTAGAAAGTTCTCACATATTGTAATTATATTTCTAAAGGCTGTCAGTTGGCTTTAGGCTGTAATTGACATGTTCTTTTTAAGGTTCTTAGTGAAGTAAGAACAGAATGTTTTTATAGTTGTCTGCTGGAAGAAGCCCCTTAAACTGAGTTTAGTAAGACTCTCAAGGATTGATTGAAGTAATTGCTTATAAAATTCTTTGTGGACTTTAAAACTGTGTATTACTTTTGTGACCTTACAAGTAATCCTTGGGCCTCAAACTTACAGAAAACTGATTGATAATTTTAGCTTCAGTTTATCTCTCTGCTTATATGTAGAGTGTGATTAATATTTGTCTGAAAGATAATAGAGTCAGAGTCTGCATTTCAATAGAATGTAACTTATTTACAGACAGTGTGTTTATGGGATATAAGTGCTGGACCAAAAGAAGGCAAGATTGTGGATGCAAAAGCCATCTTTACTGGGCACTCTGCAGTAGTAGAAGATGTGGCATGGCATCTGCTCCATGAATCTCTGTTTGGATCTGTAGCGGATGATCAGAAGCTTATGATGTAAGTTGGGGTTAGGAGGTTTCTGCATAGTGCCTGCTGTGTGCTGCTAGTGGACCTAGTACAGAGTACTTGGATTAAAAAAAAAATATTTTTGGAATAATTTCGTGTAGCTCTTTTAGGCAATTAACTACAGTAATGGTGCAGAATCACTGAAATCTACACACTATTTAATGTGTTTACATAATTTGAAAAGAAGATGTAACTAATATCTATGTCAGCTTCCTGGTGTGAGCTGCTCATGTACAACAGACACAAAATACGGAAGATTTTGGAACGAAAAATGTAGCTTCAGAGTTGGGTTTATTAATAATGTTGTCTTCTTAAACTAAGGTGTAGTGAAAAAGAACCTCCTGTAAAAACTTTTGTTTGTTTGCTCTCCCTCTTTCCTCCTTGCCCCTAACCCTTCCCCAAACCCTCCGTTGCAACAGCTGGGACACAAGATCTAATGCCACGTCCAAGCCAAGTCACTCTGTAGATGCTCATACAGCTGAGGTCAACTGTCTGTCCTTCAATCCTTACAGCGAGTTCATTCTGGCAACTGGTTCTGCTGACAAGGTTTTTACTCATGTACACTTTACATTCTGAAGTATTCTAGATGAAAGCCATTATAATAAAAACAATTTCTTTTTACTTCTGTCTGCCAGACGGTGGCTCTATGGGATCTTCGAAACTTGAAGTTGAAACTCCATTCTTTTGAGTCTCATAAAGATGAGATTTTTCAGGTGGGTAAACGTCTCACAACCTCTAAAAAAAAATGAGAAGAGTACTGACTTGGAGAAGAAGATGTAGATTTGTGTTCTTGTAACACAAATAAGTCTGTTGAACCAAAATTCCCTATTTTATGTTTAACAATTACAGACAGTACCACATAGGTTCTTTCTGACTTTCCCCACTTGACTTTGAGGCAAGCAGTGAACAACTTACTGCTAAAAAAATTCTGGGCATTTGCAAGTACCTTCAGTACAGGTAGAAGGTTTCTCTAAAATGATGTGCTATAGAGAGGGCTTGGGTTCAAACCTAATTTTGTGAACTCTGCCTATTTAGTTAGATGCAAGTAACAGTGATTTTTTAGACATTTCATAAAATGTGGTAAATCTGTAACAGTGAAATTATGTCTTTTCAGTTTGAGAATAAGACTTGAAAGCAGTCTATTTGAGTTATTGGATATCCTTTGTGGAAGAAACTGACTTATGGAGTATAGTTGTTGAAAATTAGTGGCCAGGGTGCTGGTTATTCAGGTTATGCTTTAGAAATCAGTAGCTGCTTCTCTTAAGTTGTTTTCTTTCAATAGGTTCACTGGTCTCCTCATAATGAAACAATTCTTGCTTCAAGTGGTACTGATCGTCGGCTTAATGTATGGGACTTAAGGTGAAGAGTAGTTTTTTTTCTGTTAGTATATATGAACAGATGGCAAAAAAAAAGAGGGCTGCAGGCCTGCATTATTTGGCAGATTTGATTTGTGCTGTTCTCTAGCCCTGCTTGCTTGCCTACCTCAGGCCTGGTCTTCTGTGTATAATAGAAACAGCACAGTACATCTAATGTTACTTCTCCATCAGGATTTCTTGCTAATAGAATTGTTAGTAATAAGTGATTTCTGCCTCCACGTGCTTCACAAGTTAAGATTCCATTTCAGTAATGACATTGCCAAACAGTTGATGCTTTATACCTGAGGCTTATAGTTATTTCACACTGAGAAAAACCAATAGCAAATACTGGAAACGAAGGCCAGGAACTGTTCAGTTAAGCAGATATAGAATGCATTTGTTATTAACAGTAAGTATAAATTACTTTCTTACAGTAAAATTGGAGAAGAGCAGTCGGCAGAGGATGCAGAAGATGGGCCTCCTGAGTTGCTGGTACACTTTTGCTCAGGTTTCAGTGCGCTGACATGTTATGTGGCAGTGTGATGCCCTGTCACTGTGCTGCTAAAACTGCAGCAGTTCATAAATCTTTTCACCTCCCTGGTTTCCAATTCATTGCTCTAACTTGCTGTAGGCTTCCTCTGTTCAATTCTGAAGGTTTCTCCATTTCCTGTATAACTATGGAAGTGGTCTTAGAGGTAATCAGTAGGAAATGTGGTTGGATTTCACCACCCAACCTTGTGTGAAGAGGCACTGTTTTGAAGATGTCAGTTGTTGCTGTAATAATACAAACTGTTGTCTCAAATGCTCTCTCAGCAACTGCATCTGTGTCCATAAGCAATGAATGGGAAGTGGTTTCACACACAGCTTCCTTATGTCTGTATTATGAACCTCTAGTAGCAAGTGTTTTCTAGGTGTAGTCATTAGCATAATGAATTTAACTTTAGAATCTTGGGTTTTAACAGATTTCTCTGGAGTTGAAATGGCTTACTGAAGCTTGTGGGTATTTTTTAACAGTTTATTCATGGAGGACACACTGCCAAAATTTCAGACTTCAGTTGGAATCCTAATGAGCCTTGGGTAATCTGTTCTGTATCAGAGGACAACATAATGCAGATATGGCAAATGGTGAGTGTCACAACAGCTCTTGAGTTGCTTTGAAACTTGTTGCATAAATGAAACTGAAAAGCTTTTTCTTCTTAGGGCAGCTTTCAAGGACTGAAAGCAGTCTGTCCCCTGTTACTCTCTAGTCAAACAGTGCAACACTTTAAAAAGAAAACCAAGATTAAAACAACTTGAATAAATGCAACTGCTAGATAATTCTTGAGTCCAAGTCTTAGGTACTAGTTAATATTAAGAATAAATGTGGCAGTTGCAAACTTATAGGCAATATTAGCCAAGACTTCCTTTTTCCCTCCCTCCCCCATATGTTGGCTGTGAAGCAAGATGTCTTTTAACTCACCCTTTAGTTCATATTACTTTACATTATAGGAGATTGATCAGCTATCTTACAAATGGGGAATGAAGTAATTTGGGAATAAATTAGGCTAAAAAACTGTAGTGAACTTAAATGTGTGTCACAAGTCAGGCTTCTGTCTTTTTAATACCTGTTCTTGTTTTGTGTGTTCAGGCTGAGGTTGAAATAATTATAATAAAATGTTCATGGTAAGGCTAGTGGTTAAATGGCAATGCTTATGCTGTTGAAATAGAACAGGGCAAGAAGGCAACTGCCAAAATGTAGCCACTGTGTGCGCATTCCTGAATTTGGCTGCCCTTCAAGAAAAGGCAGGGAGAAGGTCCCTTCAAGGAAGGGGAAGATGTCTGTGCCACCTTGGTATTACCAAAGCTTTTTCTATATGAAGTGTAGAAGATTGTTTAAAAACGATTGTGTCTCCTACTTGTCATGTAATGTTTTGTGTCTTCAGGCAGAGAACATTTACAATGATGAAGAACCAGATATAGCAGCAGCTGAACTGGAGGGTCAAGGAATATAACTTTTCTTCCTTAAGGAACTACTGGGAATGACATAGTAATATAATTCAACTACTGTATACATAAAACAAAGCCCCTAAGAAAAATGAAACTAAAACCAAATAAAACAAACAAGCACTGGGCAGAAGCATTACATCAAAGCAAGAATATTCTTAATTGGGCACAAAAAGCTTGTATAGTCAAATTGTCATGGGATACCCTTGGTCATTTGGGCACTTTGAGCTGTTGTATACTGTACATCAAATAGCTTTAGAGAAAATAAGAATGACTTAATAAGTACATCTATATTTTTAAAGAAACTTAGTGGGTTCCTGTAAATAAGACAGTCAAATCCTCACTCTTCACACACAGAAAGTGTACACCCTCCACCCTTTTTATTAATATGTAAAAAGAGCTTTTTGCTTTTACACACCACTTTTGGATTGGCTTTGCATAAATAAAATTTATTTAAAAAAAGTTCAGTGTGTTTAATGTGTGTTTAGCATAAGGTGAATGCCTTTGTGCCTAAATATAATTTAATTGCTGCATGGTGATAAAGGTATGTATTTTTTAGTTTATAACTTACCCTACAATTAAATGTCTGGGATGATGAGAATTGTCTTGATGCAAAAAAAAAAAAAAAAAAAAATTGGAATAGGTAATTGAAATAGGTAATTTGACTCCTTCACAAAGAGAATGGGTATAGGAAGAGGTTTGGGGAATCCATGGGGATGTCCAGTAAATCTGTAAAGTTCAAGTATAGATCTTGAACAAAAGCAAGTAACTTCTTTAGGTTTGGGTGGTTAGGGGTTTGGTTTTGTTGTCTTTTCCTAGTACTTTGGTGGGTTTTGTATGTGTGCGCATTGTGGGGTTCTTCTGAGTGGTGGTGGAAGCACTGCCCTTTAATGTCTTTCATAGGTGCTGAGATGCCAGTGACCTCTCAGTGAGTTGGTGTCACCTGTGTTTGCTTAGAGCTCTCCTGTAGCCTTTTATTTTGATTAAGTGAGGCAATTGGGCAGGTGTCTAAAATACATTAATATCTGAACAAATATGAGACAAACATACAGTTTGTTTCTAAACCTCTGGCTAACTGAAAAGGTGGAGACTTTGGACTGTGTAGAAGTAAAATTTCTCCATATTTATCGTGGATCTAGAGAGAAGTTATGGACTACTTTGGGAGCTGTCAGACAAATCTAAGTGTCTAATTGGAGTTTAAATTAAAGCTCTTAGTTACTTAAGACAGGCCTTAATTAAATGAATTGCTTTTGTGGTGGCCATTGCTTGAATGCTGGCAAGGCCTCGGCCTGTTTCTGGGAGGTGGCAAGTGGTTTCACTCCCCGCTCACCCACCTATGAAACTGTCTTCCATCTGTACCCGTGAGATTTTCTTCTTATTCTCTCCCCCACCCTCCTGGGAAATGCAAGTGACAGCAACTGATAAGCATGAAACATGCTGAATTCAGAGATGGTTTTTGGTCAGGCCCTATATGCCTTTGACAGTCATTCTGACACATGCTGCTCTTGAAAAGTAGGAAATGAAGATGTCAAAGACCCAACTTACTGGAAAAACAAAAGTGCTTCCCAGAGAGCATGCTGGTGGCTCCTCCTGGTACAGATAGATCAGTAATCTCTTATGCAACCCCTCCTGCTGCTGGTATTTGTCAGTGCTAACTTAAAGGAGACCTACTGGCTGCTTGGCACCAGCACATACAGCACAGCTCATCCCTAGAATTGGTGATTCTAGTGTCGTGGGTTGGGGTTGTTCACTCAAGTCTTCTTACCGCCTCACTAACTGAACAGGAGTGGGAAGGTGAAGTGTACTACTTGCAGTGTTCTTCTCATTGCTTTTCTTATGCTACATATTTTAAATTCCCTGCCTGCTGTTACCAGGACCCCCCCTGCCTTGTAGGCACTGAGTCACCATGCATAGACTTGTGTCTCTCCATATCTTTTTTAAGAATGGTTCCTATTAAAGGAATGCAGGTAGGTGCAAAAGAACTTGAATATTGGCCTGGAAAGTTGAGATGCTGTTGGATTTCAGCAGGAAGGTGGCTGCTGGACAGAATGTGCTAAACAGCATGAAAGATCAAACCTGCCAAAGGACACTATGGCCACTAGTTGATTAACCATGCTTTGGTCCAGCTCAGATGGGGAGCTCTATGGGTCACTCACTGGTGCTACCTTGAATGTCCCACAAACCCCTGCTGCTGCCCCATAGAGCACGGAGGAGCTGGGGCCTAGGGATGCAGCCAGTACCTGCTCTCTTACAGCCAAAGGGCAGCAGGATGGATAATTTATTATGGAACAAAATAAGAACACAATTTCATTAACTGTACATGTCGTTTAAAGTGCTGCAGTAAATACAACTTCTGCACTGCTTTATTTTCCTTGAGTCTGAATTGTCTTTCTCAAGACCTGTGTAAACACACAGCTTCCTTCAGTAGTAGCAACTTCACAGCCGCCTTTTTTTGGCAGTTCTAGGACAGCTCAGTCTCACAGCCAGTATTTAATTAGGAGAGCCTACATCTTGTTGGCTTAAAGCTTTTTGTTTGTTACTGAGTGAGAATATGTTGCTGGAACCAGTATGTTTTTAAATTTGCAAATAATTTTTTTAGATACTTTTTTTTTTATTGCCTGAGTAGCATATATGTGAAATGCTGGAAGATCATCATATTTAAGGCTACTTGGCTGAGTGCCTTCAGATTTTGATTTTAAAAACTGGTACCCCCAAAGGAAGTAGATAACTGCTTATGAAGTGCTGTTCAGTAGTAGTAAATATAATGGAAATTGAAGTTTAAAAAAAAAAAAGTAATAAAACAGTCAACCTGAACACCTCCAGAAAGATATTTATTTATAGGATTAGTCAACAGGTACTGTAGGTGTGTTTACACAGTACTTATGGAGCATACTTAATTCAATGCGTTATTCCTGCAGGTTGGTACGTGCTGGGAGAAGAAACAGCATCAGGCTTTTAATCCACTGGCCTTTCTTTTCAAGGGAACAGTGTACAGGAGTTTTGAGACCTACTTTTTTGTTTTGGCTCTTTCCAGAAGAATTGTTATAACAAAAAACTACAAAAGGTAATTTAAAGTGAGAAAACCTGCCAATTTAGGGTGACTTCCTCACTTGTTTTCATCACATATGTATTAGATGCAATTTCTCAGCATAAAGGGTATTTTTTCTCTCCAAGATTTTCAGCCTGCACCAAGGAAATCTGAATTCTTTCGTCTTTGTATTGAAATACAACATGAATGACAGTGAAACCATAAACTGCATTTTAAATCTGGTATTTTATTTCAACAGATGTGTTTTTCTGAAAGTTGAATGATAAAAATCTTCAGCCATGCTCTCCCATCAGACCACAGCAGCACTTCTGGAGAACAGCAGTCTCACACTGTGGCAGACTGGTCTTTTATTGCTAATAAAGCCAAGGGCCATTACTAGTGTTCATCACAAATTTTTGTTTCCACTTTAAGAACATTCCTGCATTTTGCTTCAGTGTGACAAAAAGCATTCCAGTGTTTTTCCTTTACTGCGTATGAAGAACTGCATTTGCTTTTGTAGCATGCAAGACCCTTGAGAGCATTAACTGTTTCTACATGGTTTATCCTGTTACCCATCCTGTACTTCATTATTATTATCTGTGTGCACACGATGCCTTTTCATTTCAGCACTGAAACAGCTGAACAAAGCTGTGTAAACTCTCTATAAGGAACAAGTATTTAAGTCAACACCCAGTCTGACCTGTTGCTTCTCAGCCACTGGGAAGTCCAGCGTGGTAGGTCCTTCATACACAGCTCTCCCAACATCATTTTCTGTCCTGTGGATTTCCAACCCCGACAGTCAAACTTGCATGCTATTCAACTATACTGTCCAACTATTCATCCCCTTTTGGATCTTTCCTTTAAAACATCAAACATGGACAAAATCCATATCCTGGAGAAAAGGGTTAGAGGAGTCAGTAACCAGTGGCAGGGAACAGCAGATGTGCAATCAAAGCCAGCAAAAGCTCTGATGAGCAGGATTTATGAAACAGACATGACCAAAATCAAATGGTTTTATATGAAGTGTGTGCGTGGGGAAACCGACCAAACAACTCCAGCATATTACAAGGGTTAAATACCAGTATATTACCTTGGACTTGGCAGAACTGAGGTAGCTATTTTGACCCTTAACACCAGGACATAAATTCGGTGGAAGTGACAGTAAACTACACCAGTATGGAGTATCTGTCAAATCGATGTAGTTAAATAAAGTTTAAAAATGAGTGACTTAACTTCATCTCCTCAGCTTGAACAAATATCACAAGATATAACAGGTTATTTAAATTGAGAGGGTATTTAAAATAGAGGCTCTAAGAGGTTACTTTCTTCAAGCAGAGCTGCAGGAGCACTGCTCTTGGCATAGTCTGGAATCACACAAAGGCCTGCTTTGACTGTCGCAGTCCATGAGACAGGCACACCCCAGATCCCTGTTTTAACAAGAAATCCAAAACAACATGCGACCTCAAAACTTAAAGAAATAGTTTTAAAGGAAATTAAAATAAAGTCTTCACAGGTAGCACAGTATTCTGAAATTACTTTAAAGTTCAGGCTAGATGGGTGCCAGAGTCAACAAGATCCATAACAGTTAGATGGGACTGAGTTAAGCTGTTAGAAGGAAATACAACCTTCCTTCAAGAAGAAATGTCTAAACAAGAGAAAAAAAGGTGAATTATCAAAAGTTAAATGTAAAACATAAAAAACAAAACCAGAAAGAAACAAAAAGTACCTGTGAGGAATAACTTTCTAAAGGCCTAAAAGCAAGAATCTTTGAGTACATCAAACACATGCCTGTCTGCCAGGGAGCTGATGCCCTGGCAGCTAGGCTGGAGGGCTCAGAATGCAGCTGGTGAAAGAGGTTCTCCCCTCAGACCTAATCTACACAAGAGAAGTACAGCTGAATGTGCGTGTGCATGTCCATTAACAGGAGACACTTAGCACCTGATTAAAAAAGGAAAAAGCCCAAATCCCACGCTATTAACTGCAAATTTCCCTCTAGCGAAAGCTTGCAAATCCAACTAGTTTTCATAAGGAACTTAGGAAGATGGGGGCGATCCAAGGAAGTAATAACAGATTTGACTCCTGTATCAGCAAACCCTGGAAGAAAGGAGAGAAAAAGAGGTGCTTACACAGGAGCAGAGGCAGCACCTTTCGAGGAGACAAGTCTCCAATGTGAGGGAATACTCTGAAGTACAAGGAGAGCATCTAAGACCAGGCAGCGTACTTGGATTTCCAAAATACTTGGCACAGCTCTACAAAAGTCTCAGGGCTAGGACCTACGTTGGTCACCTTTTACACAACAGGTATCTTCAAACAAGTTAACAAGTTTTTTTTCAATTAAAAAAATTAATACTATGTTCAAAGAGTCAGAGTATGTTTTTGTAGAGCAGTTCTAAATGCTACCTGGAAAAAACAGACACAAAGGAAAACTGAACTCAAAACCTGCTCCAAAACAAAACAAAGTTTAGGGAAGTTGCCAAACATTAGGGGTTATGCCAAAAAAGGCAAACAGAACACTTTTTCAGTATTAGGAAACTGTGAGGGAGTGTACATCAGTAACAAATCACCCCACACAGTATGACAGAACTGGGAGCACTTGATGAACTGACTGAAAAAAAAGATTTTTAACATAAACTCCCATATTTTTCACACTGCACCAACTGAACTATGATGGATAAATTCTGGGAGACAGAAGGAACGAGCAGAGTTCAAAGCAGGCAGGTGCAGGTCCAGCCAGAGCTTCTGCCCTCTGTGGTCTGACTGACCCTCACCTCAGGACACTGCCAAGGTGAGGTGAGTACAGGACTCACCCACCCCTCAGCCTATGCAGTGCCAGGAATTGCTGCCAGGAATGTGCAAGTCACTGACACGACCCCGGAACAGCCCCTTCGAGGGGCAGCTCACTTAAGCAATACGCTTGAACTCAAATTTCACATCTTTAGTTTTCACTCTTGGTTTTTCAAATAAATAGTTTCAGTAGATTCAGTTTGAAGACATGAATATGATGTTAAAGAAAAACTCAGAGTCCAGTATATTAAGCATACTTATTTACTTAATCTATACAGAATCGAGTAGATAAAATTTCAGATTCACATTAGTGAAAAATCTCTACAAAATGTTTTTGAAAAGCAAAACAAAGACTGCCTGTTCATTTATCATTTTTCCTCATGAAAGCAGACATGGGTTGTAAAAATAAAGCAGTGTGTTTAGCACAAACTAGATTTCTGCATCACTTTTTTCACAGTTATTTCCATCTACAGTCCAAAGAGGTAGATTTTCTGCAACACCTGAGAATTGAACTGTAACGTAACCAGGTGTAATGAAAGGAAGGACAAAACATTAGAGATACAGCCCTAACTTACTTGTGTAGGTATACACATATTTGGGTCTTGAATCGCATACAATTGAGCTTTTTGCAGCTTAATCGTGGTGAAACTTGTCAATCAGGCCCCAGAGTTTGACAATTAGATACACTCATCTCAGGCTACATCAGTTTACATCCCAAGTTAAACAGTTTGCAGTAGTGGGAGAAAGGCAGTAATACAAGTTTACTTAAAAACCCTGCTGGAGCCCATTTGGCTGCAGCCTGGCAGTGCAATAGCCTGCAGTATGGCAGATCAGTGACAGTGCTGAGCTTACCCTTTACATCAAGTTTGGTTTTTTTTTTTTTTCAAAGAACACTTTTTAAGCAATGAAACTCTACTGACTGGTTTCAGGAAGCAAAGTACAGCTTGCTTTGGCCAGATAAGTTGCTATGACATGGGTATGTGAGGGTAGGAAAGAGAAAGGAGACCCCTGTTTTACAAGATTTTCCCTTGGGGCGTTTTGCTTCATTTACATGTTTAGTCAGTAACAAATATATTTGTATTGCTGTTCTATACATCTGTCATTTCTCTAAAAGCCCTTTAAAATATTCTTGCAGCAGGGACCAAAAATTCGTTCTTGCCTCCATATAGAACAAGCACTATAAAAAGAATTGTTCAGGATATAAATGTCCAAATAATAAATTGTAAAAATAGAAAACTGCATGTCCTACCTTGCCAACGGTATGATGCATCAAAGTTTTTCACCCTTCCTCAGGAAAATTACTTCATGCTTAGTGTTAGCTGAAAGCCAGTTCTCAGAACAACTATTTTTTCAAGCTTGATTCCACAAAGCACATAATTCGAACAGCACGTCTGAAATACTTCTTTCCAGTTATTTTTTATGCCATACGGTTAGCATGATCAACATTTCAAAGCTCTGAGTCTAACCTGACTGACTGCTCATTGCTACCTTCTTTTCATTCCTGCACTGTGCTTGGATCACAAGCACCAAACCCACACAAATCTAGGAGAAAGACGGTCAGCTTCCCATTTGCTTCATTTCAGAAATGTCAGTTTTGCACAGTTCCTCTTAGTGGTATGAGCTAAAACATATTTATAACCTTATCCTCTCTCAAAGACAGCTACGTTATTTCAACTTACATTACTACAGGAAAAGGGTCAGGAGCTCAGTGCAGCCTGAACATTCAAGTAACTTAGCCACTGAACTGTCAAGGGCATTGGGGTGGGAAGCTTGTTGAGATGTGCTTGATTCAGAAATTCCCTCCCAAGTAAGTGCAAAGAACTTTAAGTACCAGAAAAGGCTATACATGTTCGTATTTCTTAAAATGACAGCAACCAAAACTAGAAAGTAAATACAAGGGAACTAAAGTTAAGGGTAGCTTGTAGTTACATCACACGTTGCCTTGCCAAAAAGTAAGTCTTGGTCCTAGTTTCTTTCAGAAGTCAT